GTGTATATATATATATATATATATATATATATATATATATATATATATATATATCATACCTGCAAATAATGCTGAAAAAATAGAATTCCCATATTGCATTCCAATAGACTTTTTAGCATGCTGCCCATTTATTTAGCACTAAATAAATACAGCTTAGAGATTAAATGAAACTGCAGTTTTTATAGCAAAATTTATTATATTTCACTTAAATTTTTTATTTATTAAATTTGAGTCTCAATTTTGACAGTACTTGATTTTCATAAAGGATTATGATTGTTTTAAATATTAAAACATGTATTTTATATCTGTAGTAATATTACTGTACTATAATCCTTAATTTATATTTTTTACTTATGCAGTTCCTATCTCTTCTCACAAGTACCATAGAGCTTTCTACTGGCTTTAGGTCCAAAATATCAGGATGACAAAAGGATTTTTACTTATATTTAACAGTACCTGGGAAATTATTGTCTAACAAATTCAATTTCACTTGTACAGCAATGGATTTGATCACAGAAGGAGGATGTAAAAAGTAACTGTCATCAAAATGCCATATGCACAAACAGGATGTCCCTGGTGGTATAAATAGTAGAGCTTCCACATCCATTACCCTATTTGATCCTACAGCTTCAATCCACTTTTCCAGTAAACAGGGTCTTTTTAGAAAATGAAAGGGCCCTTCTGTCCCATTATCACTCTTTTGGTTACATCCATATGCAATACAATGCACCATATTTTTTGTAGAGAACCATAATTGTTAAGATATATCACTCAGACATTTACATATTGTGGGAGGATGGGTGAAAGAGAACATACACGTAGAGAGGACACAATAGCTAAGAGTACCTCATAGGAGATGAGCTGTACTTTTATGATTATTTTCCTCAGCCAATTTTCTGAATAATGTCATTTTCATAGCCATAAACACAAAACAAAGTTTGTACCATTTTACTGACCTGATTTAGAATTTTCACACTTTTATAATTATGTGTTTCTTGCCCTTTTTCATGAAATATCAGCCTCACAAGCAAGCACTTAACTTGCAATGATACTACAAATCAGAATTTTATTTTCATTATCATTAGAGTCTTACAATGGAAGATGACTTGCTGCTTTAAATTGCATGGCTCTCTTATAAATAACCCCAATTTTAGTGTGAATTTTTTGCTATGGCAATGAACATGTAATCTTTGAGGGAGTTTAGTTCTTGTACTGCCATTGGTTTAACAGGACTTTTTTTTACATTAATTCTATTTCAATGAAAGTAAAAGCATTAACCCTATGATTTAAGCCCCTATGTAGATTTACATACCTTTCATAATTTATGGTGATTTGGAGATTACATAAAGATAAACCAAATCCTAGGCTGGAAAGCTGTGATTGGTGAAATTATTATTTTACTTTAATTACAGCCATTTCTTATTGGAATGAATATCTGGCAATCTGCAAATAAAAATCAAACCTGAAAGCTGAAATTCAAATCTGGTTACTCTTTACAACCGTGTTAAATAGTCATTCACCCATAAATTACTCTTATATAATTAAGTATTTTGCAGACTGGGAAGAAATAAGGTAATGTATATCAAGTCAGCAATGGATACAGTCAAACCCTGAGTTATAGAGCTAAAGGGCTGTGTATGTCTACATTGAACAAACAAGAATCTCTCAAAGGGACTGACTCTCTATGGTGCCAAAAAGACTCTCCAGAACCAGTAATTCACAGCAACAAAAATTCTGTTTTTTTAACTACTGATTATAAATACCATCTCTGATAGTCTTGAGAGACAAAATTTTCATAATTAGCCACTGTGTATCCATAGTGGATGTAAGAAACCACAATTTTTGATTTCAGATGTAAACTAGATACCCTCAGAAGAGTTTTGATATGACATTCCTTTAAAAGAATTAACAAGATTTTAAATATTTTCAGAATGGAAGTCACATCTGAGGTTAGATCTGCACTCTTTTCATGTATGAACAGCTAGGTTTCATAATAAGTCTTCTGGTGAAAATTCCATGTCAATGTGACTTTCCATTTAGTAGTAGTAATCATAAGATTTTCAAGATAGCTACCATGGCAGCCAGATTGGACGTCAGGCTAGCACAAATTTCATTTAATTTAGGTAGACATAACTTTTCTACTTTATCATGACTTTCCATATTGGATGGTGGAGTAGTAGCATTAAGAGTTTCAAGATTACCAATATGGTTGCCATATTGAATTTGAGATAGCACAATGTTTGTTTAAGACTAGACACCATGAAATATCTTCTAGTGAACATTCCATGCTGGTAGGACTTTTTGTTCATGAGCAATAGCAATATTTTCAAGACTGCTGCTTAGGGGGTCATCTTAGACATCAGATCTGCACCATTTTTATTTAGAACCAGAACTTTCATAAAGTTTATGTTTATTTTGAGATGTTCCCCAGCAGAAGAAGCATTGAAATTGGTGTATGGTGAAAAGAAAGCTGCAGTGGCTGTTTTGTATCTATGGCAATTAGTGAGCCTTTAGCATTAGGGGCATAAACAGATTAATCATGTCAAGTGTAAAGTGCAGAACACTGACTGATGCTCTTCATATTTACACCCCATGTTTTCTCATTCATGTTTTCTCATTCAATAGCACTATGTAAAAGGCATCTTAACCTATTTTTAATATATTAGGAAATGACCATTTAATTTTGCAAGGGGTGAGGGGGATTCTGGCTCAATTTTTCTGTCCAACAAGAATATAATTATTTTTCTCCAAATTATATAATGGATATAATTTGTTCTTTCTTTTCAACAAAGTAAAGCAAGACTATTTTTTCCAAAGTATTTGAGAATGAGAAATAATTTTGCTAATAAATTCCCATGCATCATTTTACTCCCACAATTTTTAATGTACAAAAGCTTGCCAGTAAGCTACCCCTGAGTAGATAGTTCTTACCAGGTTTCTCCTACATTCATCCTTTACCAAATATACTGGCCACCATGTACAACCTATCCTGTGCTGAAACATTGCCTGAAACATTGAAACCCACACAACCAATCAACCAAGTTCACTCATCCACCTGCTACACTAGAGGGCATCTTAAGCTGTGTGCACTGAACCAATAATTAAGGCATCATAAGCACATAAGCTCCAGCTCTACAAAATCTTGTGAAATTTTTGTTTCTCATTCCCATCTGGAATATGTGTGTTGAACAGCACATCAACATAATACTTTTAATGAAATAAGTTCATAGTATTGCCTGAAAATGGATATATATATATATATATATATATATATATATATATATATATATATATATATATATATATATATATATATATATTGTTTTCAAGTAGGGTCACTACCAGATAATTTAAGCCACATTAGCAATAAGTTTGTATTAGAGGAAAAGCTGTCCAAAATTCAGATGTTTTACTTGAATTTTCAAACACCGCATTAATAATAAAATATATATGTCCTCTATTATTGGCCTTTTCATCTCCTTCATATGACTTCATACTTGAAGCTTCTGTTGCCATTGATTTGCAATAGTCTCTACTGAGCTTCACACACAATACTGTCAATGGTAAATTAACCCACAAGGATAACAGAACATAAAACACTTTAATTTACCCAACATTCCAGAAAATGTTGCAAATGTTTAAGTACCAAACAGTGACTGCTACACATTTTTTTCTCAAGAAAGGCAAAATGACAGGCACACAAGAAAAAATACAAGTAAAAACTACAACTCACAGGTTGTATAAAACACTTGAATGAACAAATTTTTGAAGACCTAAGTAAAGTTCAATGGATTGCAATCGACAAGTCTGATGATGTTTAAAAACTTCCAGGGATATATATATATATATATATATATATATATATATATATATATATATATATATATATATATATATATATATATACATACACACACACATAAATATACACATACAAATGTAGTCTCTAAACATGGGTAAAATAGGAACTCCAATCTTTCAGTGAAATCTTTAATGCCATAAAAAACATGAGACAAATTCCAGGTTCCTGGAAACCACATACAATAAAAACAATAGATAAATAAAATACCAAGTATCATTAAACTAGCTAAAACAAAAAAAAAACCATTATCAATAAATGCTTAATAACAAAAACAGCAATTCCAATTTTATTTGGAATGTTTTTAATCAACTGGAGGAGAAGACAAAAATCAGTCCATTTAAATTCATTCACTTCTGGTAACTGACACTACTGTTGCTGATGACAAAGATACCACAAATATTTTCAATGATTTATTTTACCCTCATAACCATACAATTCTAATAACTAATTTCATTAAAAAGTTCTGTACCAACAAAAATGTGAGGTACATCTCTATCCCACCAGTATCAATCAACTCTGTTCTAAAATGTCTAACTGAAATTGATAATAAGAAAGCTACAGGACTATATTTGACAAGTTCATTACTAAGTAAAACATAGGCCATACATATTACAGAAACCATAACATTCAGAATGAATTTAAATGTTGCAATTTCCTTGGTTTCCAAAATTGCAAAACCAGCTTAAGTAACTATTCATAAATTAGACACTATGGAAGACAATGACTGGCCAACTTGATATCACCAAATTTAACCAAATTAACTTAAAAACTACTTCATCAAACATGACTATTACACCTAACCAATTTGGCTCTAAATACAATCATTCATGTGAGACAACAAATAGAGTAAAGCTTAAGGTGGAGCAAATTCAGAGTTAGACTGAGAGTGGTAACAAATTCATCTGATCTGAAACAATATTACCTGATTAATCAAAACATGTCCTGCTTATATTCAAAGTCATCCAACACCTTGATAAAATATGGTGTTTTAAATTTATTGCAAAAATAATTAGAAATATATTAGCTAGATTTGGACCAACCCAGTGGTGTAAGTTTTTAGAGCATCTGAATTGGATGTGGAAGGCCACGGGTATAGACCCAGCCAAGTCACACCAGAGACTTATAAAATGGTACCACTGCTTCGGTGGCCTAGTGATTAGAGCGTCCACCTCAGATGCGGAAGGTCATGGGTTCGATCCCAGGTTGAGTTATACCAAAGACTTACAAAAATGGAACTAACAGCTGCCTCATTTGAGCTCAGCATTAAGAGGTTAGTGTTGGGACTGATTGGTCTGGTGTCAGGATAAAAAGACTGGATGGGACATCATGCTACATGTCTTCGGCATGATGCCTCAGTGCTAGACATCACTATAAACTGCCAGACTGCAGATACTGTAGTGCTATGACTGAAAAATTTTTAAAAATCATAATCACATCATATCACTCACATAAAATGGTATCTATAGCTGCCTCACTTGGTGCTCAGTATTAAGAGGTTAGTGTTAGGACTGGTTGACCTGGTGTCAGGATAATGTGACTGGCTGGATGAGACATGATGCTGCAGCATATGAATACCCCACTGTTAGATATCACTTTAAACTGCCACACTGCAAACATTACAGTGATACAACTAGAAAATTGTTCAAGCTATGTTAAAAAGAACACACACACACACACACACACACACACACACACACACACACACACACACACACACACACCACACATACACACACACACACAAACAGTTAGATTCCTGACAAGCTTAACCAGCACATCTTTAATATGCATGAATTTCACTCACAACCATACTCAACACAAGCCTTAATGACAAAGGCCTATTTATTAAGTCTTATCATATTCCAATCAAACATACAGTATTTAGAGTTGTAAAAAAAAACCATGTCATTATCATAATAAAAATCATCTAAATTTTAAAATTTACCATGTTATATAATTGGATCAAGTTCTGCCAATCATGTGCATCATCACCTTGTTATTACATGTAGATTAAGGTCATAATAGCTCATTATTTTTCATAAAGCCTTCAGCCTCACATGTATACATAGCATGTTACTCTGCTGTTGTTGGAAACAGGCCTCTTCAAAGAAAAGGAACTTTTATCAATTATACAATACGTCACTTGAAGTACCCTATATAAACAAGCTGTCTGCACGAGAAACCTCATAGTTATTTTGGCCTTATATGGTAAGTTAAATAATAGGTGTATACTTAAAAAAGACTGGTGTTGTAGCCAGCTTAGGATGTAGTCCAAGCTATACTGTTATCTGTTTTAAATTATTATCGTTTATTTTCTAATGGCTACTGAAGAGGACAAAGTCCTCTCAATTACCGACCTCGAAGCCCACTCAGAATTTTCGGGTTTTGGGCCTGAGGATATTGCAGCCTTTTGTGAAATCGAGGCAAGTTCCTCAATAGAGGGAAAAGTTATGAAGCCACAAAAATATAAAAACAAAAAGTTGAAGTCTGTAGTGACTAGAGTTCCGAAAGCGACAAAACACAAGCCTGTTATGGCAGATAAACAAACAGCAAATGTCGGACAGTCAAAGACGTCCATTCTTATAGATATAAAAAAAACCTGTCACAAACGGACATTGAGCTTTTGAAGAAAAAACTGGGTCTAAATGATATTCATCCTGTTGTGGCAGATGACAATGAAATTAATGACTGTTTTGGTGAACGTTTACCAGAATTACATGTAGAAGTTGAAAATGAAGGTCCATATAGCGATGTTGAGGTTACCCCAGAAGAGGGTGATACAAGTAGACCACTCAAGCAACTTTCGTTGAGTGGGAAAATTAATGGGGCTTTGTTTGATGCTATGCAGTCTGATTACAACTGTATTTCTACTAGTAATGATGATGTGTGGCAATTACCCAAATTAAAAACTCCCCAAAAAGGAGAGCCAATACCAAAATCCTTAGCAGAGCTGATTAATACTGCATGCACCTCCTTATGTGCAACAGATGAAATTGTACAGAAGTACAAAATCCCAGAAAATTGTGATAAGTTGAGCCCCCCGGGGTTTTGTCAATCAAGAAATTTGGAATGACCTAAGCAAAAGAGTTCACTCTTACGACAAAGCCTTTAGGGATATACAAAATCTTGTTGCTGCAGGTATTATGCCAATTGTCCAGTTAGCAGAATTGTTAAAGCCGCAGATTGCTACTAATGAAAAAGCAAAGACCCTAATTTCTGATGCAATTACTCTTATGGGTCAGGTGCAATATAATGTCTCCCTCAGGAGGAGATATATGATTCGACCACACTTGAAAAGGAAATATTTGAATCTTTGTAACATGCATACCCCAAAAACATCAATGCTTTTTGGAGATGATGTAGCCAAAGAAGTTAAAAAATGTGACACTGGATTTGCACTTGCCAAAGAAAACTTTGCCCAGTTTAACAGAGGTTTCTATAGAGGCCGCAGTGCTAGAGATGGTGGACCCATAAGAACTCACGATTTCAATCAGAGGGCAAGATTTCGATCCCAACCTTATAGTGCCCAAAATACACACAGGTATCAATACCAAAATTCCAACAGAGGAAAGAGACCTACTTTGTCCATTATGAACATTTTAAGCAAGAAACATTTCTAATTGTTTTAGATCTCATCCAGAAAAATGATTTCTTTACTTCCATTGATTTAAAGGATGCTTATTTTAGTATTCCAATACATACAGATTATCAGAAATTTCTCAAGTTTGTTTGGAACGGTCAACTTTTTCAGTTTGTCTGTTTACCTTTTGGGCTTTCTTCTGCTCCAAGTCTTCACGAAGATCCTAAAACCCATTTATGCATGGTTTAGACAGCAGTGTATTAGGTGTACCTACTATATTGATGATTCATTGAATTTGGACAGTGATAGTCACATTTGCTTATGAAACACATGGACTATGATTGAAACATTACAATCTCTCAGTTTTACTATCAATTTTGAAAAATCTGTTCTTGTTCCATCTCAACGAATAACCTTTTTTGGTTTTGTGTTAGACTCTGCTCAGTTTAAGGTCTTTCTTACTGAGGAGAAAGTGGAAAAGATCAAAAATTTTGCCAAGAAGCTTCTTGATAAAAAGTATGTTAGAATAAGAGAGTTGGCATCATTTATTGGTATGCTTATTAATGCATTTTATGCAATCCTGGAAGCCCCAATGCACTACAGGTGTTTAGAACATGATAAATTGAAAGGCCTTCGTGAACACAAAAATTTTGATAGTACAATTCAGTTGTCTCCACAAAGTATTCAGGAACTCAAATGGTGGAATCTGTATGTTGCAGACAAAAATGGGAAATATATCAGACAAGACAAGATTGCTTGTACTATTCGAACTGATGCATCGCTCTCAGGGTGGGGAGCTTTTGAACTTTATTCAAATAGATCAATCTCTGGTAGATGGAAAAAGAGTGAGACCACTTTTTCCATCAATTATTTAGAGTTGTTAGCAGTTTCTTATGCTTTACAAGTCTTTTATTCAGATCATAAAAATATCTATATAGAGATTCAATCTGACAATATATGTGCAATATATTTTGTATATTAATAATATGGGTGGAATGGCATCAATTCATTTGGATCACTTAGCCAGACAGATTTGGAACTGGTGCTTGGAAAGGAAAATTTTTGTAACCGCAGTCCATATTGCTGGCAAATATATACAGGCAGATTTTCTATCCAGAAATTTTTCTGACTCCACTGAATGGATGCTAAAGAAAGAAATTTTCCAAAGATTTTGTGCACAGACTTTTCTTCCAGACATAGATATTTTTGCATCTAGACTAAACTGTCAATTAAAGAAGTTTGTCTCATGGTTTCCAGAACCAGGTGGTTTTAAAACTGATGCTTTTCTTTTTCCTGGCAGGATTTGGTGCCATACATTTTTCCCCATTTTAATCTTATTGGAAAAATATTGAACAAAATTATTGCTGATAAAGTTAGTAAAGCACTCTTAATCGTTCCACATTGGACATCACAATCCTGGTTTCCTTTACTCTTGTCTTGTTTAATTTCTCTTCCAATTAGACTTCCAAAACACAAAAATATACTGACTCTTTCACACAGTGGTCAGACTCATCCCCTAGGAAAGACCCTGTCTTTATACGCAGTGACTGTATCAGGAGATTGCCCCAAATCCAAGGACTTTCAACAACAGCTGTGGACATCATCATCAATTCTTGGAGACCAGGAACATCAAAACAATATAATTTGGCATGGAAAAATGGTATTTTTGGTGTAAAATCAGGGAAATTAATCCACTTTGTGTCTCTGAGATAAGTTATTTCATATTTAGATTCTTTGATAAATGAAGGTAAGTCTTACAGTGTCATAAATACTCACAAGGCTATGTTACTTACTACTCTGAGAATGTTTAAAAATGAGTGGAGCCTTAACCCTGTGTTGATTAACAGATACTTGAAGGGATTGTTTAACAAAAGTCCACCAAAGCCAAGATATGTTGACATTTGGGATGTAAACCTAGTCTTAAAATATCTGTGTACTCTTTTTCCTCTGGACACTCTATCTTTAAGATTTTTAACAATGAAGCTGGTTGCTCTTATTGCTTTGTCCACAGCTCCAAGAGCACAAACTCTAAAATCATTGAATTTACATAACATGACTTGTATGGCAGATAAAATTGTATTTAGTTTGTCAGATTTGTTGAAAACTTCAAGACAAGGTAAGACTTTCCAGATGGAACTACTACATTATAAGGATGAAAAGCTTTGTGCCATGCATAATGCATACTTTATTGCATTATCTTGACAGGACAAAAGATATTCAGAAATCTAATCAAGTTCTGGTATCTTATTGTTCTTACAGAGCCATGACATCCAGTACTATTGCTAGATGGTTAAAAATAGTTTTAGAAAAATCAGGAATAGATACATCCAAATTCAAAGCTCATTCTTACAGAACTGCTGCAGCATCAGCTGCTTTCAGACATGGTTGTTCCTTACACAATATATTAAAGACGGCAGACTGGACTTCCGTAAAGACTTTTCAAAAATTTTACCTAAGAGATATCCAGGCTAATAACAAGGGCTTCACCGAAGCAGTTGTTAATATCATGTAAATAATTTTTCTGTTCATGTTTTTTAGCAGATGTTTTGTTGTCAGTCTTTAAAGATGCTATGTATACATGTGAGGCTGAAGGCTTTACAAAAAATAATGAACCCTTCATCCAAGCATTCG